CGGTGCTTCTTGCTCAGGAGAACCACGACAGTTTTTGCTATAAAGCCTCGCCGTTACCTCGTCAGCATAGTCTTTAGTCGAGCATAAATCGGCAATACTATAATATCTTCTAAGACAGTACGCAGATTCTGACTCCATAAAAATAACGCACAATATTTTTGACGGAGCCAGCTCTGAACGTTCTTCCTCAATTACCACTAAATCAGGAAATGCCCAAGGACGGTTTTTAACAATAGACCATCTGTGTACGTATTGCATGAGACACATGTAGACGTTAGAAATTCTTGCCTCACACAATTATGGTGAAATGATATACCATAGCAATCTCTTTTATACGCACGGCGTTCTTCAAGACTTGCCAGGATCAGAAGGTTTGAACAACCATAACATCTTACTTGCTCCATTTTGTATCTCAGTTGGGACTCAGAAAGAAAAAAAAGAAAAGACTCCCCACCACAATCTGCAGTGGGGAGCCTTTAGGACTTAGACTCAGAAAGAAAGAAAAGAAAAGACTCCCCACCAGAATCTGCGATGGGGAGCCTTTTCGACTTAGAAAAAAAAAAGGAAGAAACATAGTGAGGAGTCTTTTGGACTTAGTGTTTGAAAGGAGCTCCCCTCAGCAAGAGGAGAGCCCTTTCAACTCTGACTAAAAAAAAAGATTTGAAACAAATCTTAGAACAAAGGCTTAATCTCAGAAGATCGTAGCAACAAGGCCACTCTACAACTTACAATACCCCCCCTTTCCCAAGAGTCCTAATGTTTCCCGAGATGAAGTCGAAGGAAACATCAGGACTGAAAGGAAAACAAAACCAACTTTTTCTCTTAATATAACAATAACCTTTATTAAGTACCAGTACCATTTTCTGTTTATTAATTAGATTCAACAATGAAAAATGCCCCAACCTTGAGAAGGACATTAAGGAAAATGAACAACTCTTGGAATTCACATTATAAATCTACTGAACTGATGCAGAGGGTTTGTGTGAGTTTTTTAAAATGATGTTGCCAGAATGTTTTAAGAGGGCCCTAACCCCCCCGGGGGGGGGGGGGGGACTCCCATATGAAACAGACGGGGATGCTCGGCGGAAATTTTGAATTTAACCCCTAAAGGAGACCATCTGGGCGTGGCTCAACCTTTTTGTGACCCCTAAAGGAGACCAATCTGGGTGTGGCTTAAGCAAGTTTTGACCCCTAAAAGAGACCGCTTAAAAACACACAAATACGACATGCAATGAGTTTAAATGATATAAAGACATAATCATCGAATGCTTTTATCTAAAAGTAGTTTTTAAAAGCATTGTCATAAATCTCAAGTTCTTCGCGGAACCCTAAACGAGACCTTGGGGGCTTAAAATATTGGCGCTTTGCCCAGAACACCCTAAGCGAGACCAAAATCCAAAATTTACACCCCTAAGTGAGACGACGAGCATCCCCATCTGTTTCATATGGGAGTCCCCCCCCCCCAGCCCTAACCATATCTGAAGATTTACAAATTCTTTGCAAATGTTTCTCAACTTGATCCGAATCAAGTTCCGAAGCAATAAAATAATGATGATTCCAAGAGCAGACCACGAAAGTCAGAGATTCCGAGGAAAAACAATCATTTCAGAAATTTAAAAGGACTTTTCATTTTGCAATGGTTCCAGTTCAGTCTAAATATTATAAATTCCTCGAAAATATATCAGTTTATGCATGAAGAAGGTCAAGGGGGATTAGGGAGCGGTCGGGGGGGGGGGGGGCAAGGTATTACAATGGTTGACTGTATTTGTACTGGCTTTTATCCTTTTAAGAACGTTACAAATATCCTTTCAAAGGGAAATCAAGTAATAATGGGAATAATCCTAGTAACAGTTTTATGATAATGGCAATACAATGAATAAACTTTCACATTTTCTCCATTCTTATTTTGCAGTATCCATCATAACCTGAGCTATCCGAACAAATAAGCTTACTGCTTAACTATACTGTTTACACGGTGAAAAATAATATCATTGTTCGCTAATGCTTACGCTATGAACGTCAAAAGTAACTAACCTCGGCGGATCGGAGCATTGATCCACATTTTGAAGTACCGTATGACGGTATCCATTCTTGGCTTACACAATGACTTCAACAGAAAACACAGGTCGTTGGTCGTAAGGAGTCGAAGAGTTTGCCGGAAAATAATTTTATTCAGTTCCAGTTTCCGCGCGGATACCTGATTTTGGAGTATCCATTCTAGTCACGACCGTTCTGTCAAGGGCTGTTGCATAACTCTGACGCATTTTGCACGAACTGGAAGTAAAAAGGGGTTGCCGCCACCCTACTCGTTTTTTTCCCCTACCCTCCCCCTGTTACGTAAGACTCTTGCCTTTATACTTTTTTGCGGATAGAAAATAATGATTGACTTATTAAAGTTACAGCGGCAAATCACTAGTCTCCCTCGCAGCCGTTTTGTGGATGTCACGCAACGGGGAGCGCTGCGTGACATCCAAAAAAGACGGGTGCGTGAACCTCTCGTTCCTAGTGGCATTTAAAAGTGGGTACTTGATATCTTATCTTTTCCACAGAGTTAACATCACGTCTGTTGTGAAACGTTACTGAAGACGTTTATTAAAACTCAGAAAGAGTACGGTAGAAGAAGACAAGTACGGCTTTTTATAGCACAAGGCTTAGTTTCGGCAGACATGGTGTTTAGACTTCGTGTACGTGTCATGAACTCTTGCACATGAGGGAATGTTTCAAAACTAACCAAAACCACAGCAGGTCAGTCTTGCAACATTTTGACAGGCACGAACAACATTAATGTCAAGAAACCCCTCCAGAACGTCATTCAAGTTCAGTGCGGTTTTTGCACAAGGCAAACCTTGGCACACTTCTCTGGCCGTTCTTAGATGACCTGGGGCGAGTTGTTTGCAGAAGCCTGCAGATTCTACCGCTTGCTTGTGGGTTTCCTGCCAAAGTTGCAAACTGTATTGTAGATCCAAGAATGGGATGCAAGACCCTCTGTGCGGTTTTTGTGGTCATTGTCAGTGTCTCGATCGTAGTTGTTCCTATGCTACTAAGCAAATATCTGTTCCAAATCGGCGAGGTGCCGCGGATCGATGAACATCAATGGTGGGGGAAAGGATTAGATCAGAGCCGCGAGCAGAAAGAAGACACTTCCATTAACCGAATTTATATGAGTTTATCCGATGAAATCCTGTCTGATCTTAAGGACAGACTTTCTAAGACGTACTTCTTTGAAAACTTGGAGGGAATCGATTGGGAATATGGAATAAACCCTGACTATATGAAACAACTTGTTGAGTACTGGAAAACAAAGTTTGATTGGCGCAAACAGGAGACACTTATTAACACTTATCCTCAGTTTAAGACGAAGATAAGCGGAATAGAGGTTCACTTTGTGCATTATAAACCAGATCAACTAAAAGAAGGTCAGCGTTTGATTGCTATAATGATGGTGCATGGATGGCCTGGGTCATTTTATGAGTTCTACAAAGTTATTCCAAAATTGATTGCTGCTTCCACAGATGATTATGCCTTTGCAATTGTCTGCCCCTCTATACCAGGCTATGGTTTGTCTGAAGCGCCTCATAAGCCAGGCTTTGATACGTTTGCTGCTGGGCGTGTTTTTACCAAGCTGATGGATCGGCTTGGCTACGAGTCGTATTATATTCAGGGCGGAGACTGGGGCAGTGCAATTACTAAGGCAATGGCAATTATGAATCCAAGGTGAGTGTAGATGCTTTTAACCATAAATCCTGCTTCTTATATTTACTTGTTATCTTGTTACATTGCTTCTGTTGGTACTACGAGAGAATCTGTTTTGACATAAAAGTATGAGGATATATTCTGCAGTAATGAGAAATATCACAGATCTTTTAATACTGCCGGCTTGCTTGTAAAGTTGAACTAGGGTCACCTTCAGAGGCATGCGGGCATAAATGACTGGGATGGGTTCTGTTGCTGGTGACTTCTGTTCTCATATGAAAATGGGTAGTCCCAAGGTCTATGTTATATGCAGGGTTGTCAAAATGCACCAGCAACCGGCACTATCACCGGCTACTTCTGTAACCTCGGAAACACATATCCCTGGTGATATGTGTCCCCTACCTGGAAAACACATATCCCTAGTGATATGTGTTCCCTCACCTAGGAAACACATATCCTAGTAATATGTGTTCTCCCACCTGGGAAATACATATCCCTAGTGATATGTGTTCCCCCACCTGGGAAACACATATCCCTAGTGATATGTGTTCTCCCACCTGGGAAACACATATCCCTAGTGATATGTGTTCCCCCACCTGGGAAACACATATCCCTAGTGATATGTGTTCCCCCACCTGGGAAACACATATCCTTAGTTATATGTGTTCCCCCACCTGGGAAACACATATCCCTGGTGATATGTGTTCCCCCACCTGGGAAACACATATCCCTAGTGATATGTGTTTCCCCACCTGGGAAACACATATCCTTAGTTATATGTGTTCCCCCACCTGGGAAACACATATCCCTAGTGATATGTGTTCCCCCACCTGGGAAACACATATCCTTAGTGATATGTGTTCCCCCACCTGGGAAACACATATCCCTGGTGATATGTGTTCCCCCACCTGGGAAACACATATCCCTAGTGATATGTGTGTTCCCCCACCTGGAAAAAGATTTCCCTAATGATATGTGTTCCCCCACCTGGGAAGCACATATCCCTAGCGATATGACAAGACAATATCCCTAGTGATATGTGTTCCCCCACCTGGGGAACACATATCCCTAGTAATATGTGTTTCCCCACCTGGGAATCCCTAGTGATATGTGTTCTTCCTCCTGCAAAACACGTATCCCATGATATGTGTTCCCCTATCTAGGAAACCGATATCCCTAGTGATATGCGTTCCCTACCTGAGAAACACATATCCCTAGTGATATGTGTTCCCCCACCTAGGAAACACATATCCTTAGTGATAGTGATTTACCCAACCTAGGAATCACATTTTCCCTAGTAATATGTG